TTTTGATGAACAAAGGGGGAGAAGTGGATGAAATCTCTCTCTTTAATATTGATAACTTTTGATGTTGAGAACTTTTGAATATTATCATGCAATGCTGCAATATCTATTAGATAAATTAGTATGAAACTTGCTTAAATTTTAACTACACTTGCATTGTTGAAACGTTCTCCTTTTTATTGATGACAAAGGGGGAGAAATGATACCAAAATGTGACAAATTGATGACAAATGAATGCAATGTATCTTATCGTAAATATTTATCATAAATACTTGAAATGTTTAATGAATGTTGGGTAAATGTCTTTCATTTTGATAAGATATCATGAGCTCAACTTATTATCTTATGATGAATTGCTATCTTTGTCGTCTTGCTGTATTTCATATTTGAAATTCGTATCATACTTGAAAATGATAATTGTTTATCATTGAACTTGAAAATGGATGTCATGCCTTGAAATCATTTTCATTGATAAAATACATGACATCGTATTTTGAGAATATTAAATCATGATAGGAAACATGATGTGCATGCTGATAAGTTTAAATGAACCTAACTTATCGGTTTGATACTTGAATTCAAAGGCATTGAATTAAAGAATATCTTTTCTCAAGTTTGATATATAGATAGGGAGAGTTAGGTTAACTCCTTCACCAATTAGTTGTCATTGTCAAAAAAGGAGAGATTGTTGAATCTCGAATTTTGATGATGAAATCAATTAGTAAATTGTTTGACCTAATCTATGTGTTAAGATAAGTGTGCAGGATTAACTACGATAGCAGTAAGGCATAAAGCAGATGATGGGTCGAAGACGAATATTCCGACGATGTACTAGAAGTGTGTCAAGAGCTCGCCAAGAGTTCGTCGGGAGTTTGCCGGAGGCTCGTAGGAAGATCGTCGATAGTTTGTTGGGAGTTTGCCGGAAACTCACTAGAAGTTTCGCCAAAAGAAAAATCGACATACCGGACTAATTGCTTGTCTTAATCGTAGTTAAAACATAAATTGAGTTAAAATTGGGAGGTAATCTCACTAACTTAATTAGGGGCCAATTGGGCTCTTAACAGGACTAAATTGGGCTAGATTGAACAGCCCATTCAACACTTGAAATCACGGCCAGCAGTGGCACTGCCTAGGTGACCCAATCTCTCAAGTGGTCTGGGCTATGGTACTACCCAGATTGGGCAGTGGTACTATCAATAGTTAATGTTGCCAATGGTGGTATTGCCCTTGTCAGGCGGTGGTATCGCTAGAGCTCGGTCTCCGAGCTCTGTTAGGCGGTCGTACCATCCAGTGTCAGGTGTCAAGTGGTGGTACCGCCAGTATCTCGAAATCCGGGGATATGATATTTTTTTACTCCAATTTTGAAGTCATTGAGGTCTATAAATCCCCACCCTTTTCTGCATGAAAGGATATGAAAGTATTAACATAATCTTGAGTCTTTGAAGTGTTAAAGTGTTGTAAAAGTGCTAGAGTACTCCTCTTCTCTTTCTAAGTATTGAGATCATTCAAGAGAGGTGTGAGACTTCTAAGGGTTATATCCTAAACCCGTGAAAAGGAGAAAACGCTGTAAAAGGTGGTTGGTCTTTGCCTATTGAAGGAAGGTCATTAGTGGATGCCGGTGACCTCGATAGAGAAGGAATCTAAAAGTGGATGTAGGTTACAACGACTAAACCACTATAAATTTTGGTTTGCATTTCGTCTTGAGCAATTTACCTTTCTTGCAAGTTACTTTACCTTCTTACTGCTTTTTCTATACTCCCATACGCTTTCAAATTAAAATATTTACGAAATGATTTTCGTCGGAATCAGGTTTAATCGAAATGAAGACTTTTGAAACGGATAATTTTTCGACTGCACTAATTCACTCTCTTAGTGTCGCTCTTGATCCTAATAGCATAAATCCTGAAAAAGAGATTTGTCCAAAGCCTTAACTAAGTTGGACCATTATATTTCTTCTTGTAAAAGAAATATTTTTCATAATATCTTTTTGATGTTTAAGTTAGCTAAATTAAGTTTTGAAGATAAATGATATAGAGAGAAGAAGACAAACGTGGATATCTATCAAATAATTTTTGATTAATGACATAATTCTCTAAATCATTTCCGATATGAAAGTATTTTATATCTTGACTCATGTTGACAGGGAGAATTCGAATCCTTTCATTATTTATCGATGATTAGCGCCATATATATAGGGCAGTGAATATTGTTTCAATGGGTAGATTTGAGGTCAAAAAGATCATTTAGCATGTTGGAAATTATATTCAAAAATTCTAAGCTGCAAATTGTACATGATCGAAGCTTGTTAGGAGGTTCAGAAACAGCTTTTCAAGGACAAATAGTCTTTCATAATTTATTCTATAATTATATATTAAGTCTGTTGTTTCATATTTTAGGAGGAGATATTTCCAAATGTTAAGATTAATTGAGCCAGAGAGATGGTCATTAACCGGTTGAATAGTTTACCTTTGAGGTCAAAAAGCTATTTAAAATTAAATCACTCATATTAAAGTCTTGATTGGTGATTAATTTTTAATAAAAAATTTAAAAAATTATTGCACACGCATGAACTTAAAAATATATTACTTATGTAATAATATATTAATTAATTCGGATATCTCGAAAAAGACGATTGAAGATTAATATATATATATACACACACAAGATGCAGTTAATATGTTTACTTTTGTAATTAATGCCAATAAAACATTTTTCTAAACAAAAATAAAAGAAAACTACTCCATTAATCATTTCAACATGAAATGCTGAAATGCTGCAACCGTGCGGCTCCCCCTCGCGTCCGCCGACTTCTCTCTCTTCCAGAACGCCGTCGCCGTCTACATCGCCACCGGAAGCGCCATCTCCAGCTCCACCTATAAGCCGACCGCTCCGCTTCTCTCTCTCCGTCGCGTCCCCGATCTCCGCACCCATTGCCACGACCCTTCTCTCCAGGGAATCGTTCTTGGAATGGAGGATGCGGTGGAAGAGACCGGATCTCCCGGTCACCCGGCTGTTCTTCGCATCACGCCTCTCCCAGATGGACGGATGAGATGCATCTTGAAGTGGTATCTCAGCCGTCCAAACTTCGTGTACGCATCCATTGTATATGCTGGTTTTCTTTGTGCCCTCCCCTGGCTAATGTGCCTAACTCTCCTCAGATTAGATCAAAGGAACGAGGAGGATGGGCAGACGGAGGGCTTCGCAGTTGCTTGCAGGGTATCGACAATTTCTCCTCGGGCGACCAACCCCATCCTCCCATGAACAATCCATTTCAGGTTTCCTGTTCTTTCCTAGTCCACAAATATCAAAAATTTTATGCCTAATACTCCATAGATTTGTACTTGAATTCCTTTCGTAATCAGCTAATTCAATATCTTTCTTCATTGTCTTTCGAATTGAGACTCTGTTTTACAATTATAAAGCTATATATTCCGCAAGAATATTAGGTTGCCCATAAGGTTTTTCAACTCTTGTGATAGCAATGTTGAGTCTTCACGCACTCTAATTTTCTTTAGACAAACAGGCTAGCAGACGTTGACGTGTTCTCAGAATCTTTTGTAAACCTCTTTGTGATAAAAAAAAATCTTTTATGCATTTCCAAATGCAAAGCAAATCTTTGTGTCTTATTGGCGAAACTGAAAACTTGACATTCAACAGGTATGTTCAATTCTTCAAACCAGAATAGTACTAGACTACGAGGGTAGTTCTTAAGCTTGATCATCTGGAAACTGTTTCATGGCCAGATCATTTTAAGGCCAACCAAGCATATGAAATGTTGGTTCAACTTGAGCTTGGATTGGATTTGAGATGGTCTATCAAAATCACCCAAAAAATTGCACAAATAATATGATTTTTGTACATGTTAGCATCCGTCTATCTAGTAGTATCTATAACCACTTCATATAGTTATTAGTTAATATGTTCCTTTCATTTCCCTTTCATCCATTGAATGTTGACCACTTAACTCACAAAATAAAGGTAACAAGGGTCCTCAGCTTAACTTGCCAATTTGTGTGCTTTGGAAGTCTCAACATAATGCATCAGCCCATGTTTTTTGATGATAACAAGGTTAAGAGAGTTAGGGTTGAAAATCTGGAATTCAATTAGGCCTATGGAGTCTAGGGATCACCTTAATTACGTAGTGTTGATCCTTTAGTGACCTTTTTATAGGCTTCAAGTTGGTTATCTTGGTCTAGTTTTCTCCAAATTTGTCATGGACACTGTTGTAATGGTTTATTGCTGGAGATCCATCAGAAAGTTGCTAGCAGCTGTTAAAAGAAAATGTTGCCTTCTTTTCATCGGTACCTGTACTGTTTGTGTAATTTTGCTTATTCCCCCTTTTGACAAATGTGATGTTTTGAGTATTTTTGCTTGTTTCCACATTTTTGCAGAAAAATTAACTTGCTAATTGGTGTGGTTTTACTTGTTGACTGTATTGTGTTTTTGCATCATACTTTAGATCAAGATTTAAAATCTCAGCATGGTGTTGATACCGGTTGGTGGCTGGACCAGTATGGTACCAGTACACTTAATCGTATCAACAGTTGTAAGGGTTTGTACCACCTAGACCAGACAAAATGGGAGAGAAGAGGGAAGGGGAGGAAGGAGAAGGAAAAGAGCATGAAGGAGAAAATGGAGAATGAGGAGTTGGCAGATGAGGAGGATGCAACTACCCTTACGAGGAGGAAGTAGCAGTTGTAATGAGGAGGAGGAAGAAGAGGTGGAGGAGGGGGGAGAGAAAGAACAGCCAAGAAAAAGAAAGAGTGAGCGAGAGAGAATGCTGTGGTGAGAAAGAAAGTAAAGAGAAAATATAAAAGATATGGTCAAGTTGTCAAAAAAAAAAAGATAATGGAACTGGATGGTAGGCTTACCATCCCATACACTATAGTTCCGACCCTAAAAACCAGATGATACACCTAGGATGCTAATCTTGTTGGAATATAGGACAAAAATTCATGGTCTGTATCAAGGTTTGCAATTTCGGTCCGTACTGGTGTATCGACTAATGGTCGGTACGGTACGTATCGAGGTGTACTGACGATACGCTAGGGCATACTGATGATACACCAAAAAAAATAAAAATAGCTCCAAAAATACCCAAAATAGAAAAAAGGGTTAGATTAGGGTTTTTAAGTTGAAAATAAATATAAATTTAGTATAATTTTAGCAAAAATAATCTACATTAGGAAAGAATAATGACACATATCTTTTTCGGGCTCTTAGGAGTAGCTTTATAGTACGTTATGAACCGTCATTCCATTAATATTGAATTATCTACAAAGAAATGATTTGAATTGTTATATATGAGTGAGAATGAGTTTAAGAGAGTTGAAGGGATTGAGAGAATGACATGAGTTGAGAGAAGGGGGAGGCTTAAACCCTTTCCTATGGTTTAAACAGCCAATTTGATCGTTTGAAATAAGACTATCTCAGCCCTTCATCGGTAACGGTCGAAATCCGATCATTACCAATCGGTATAGGTCGGTAACGGTCAGATTTCGACTGTTACCATCCGGTACAGACCTTGTATTGCCCAATACGGGTTCAGGTTATAGTACTGCCTGGTAGAGGGCGATCCGTATACCGGTCCCCCGTTGGACCAATACGTGCCGCCCATACTGAGCGATATGGGATGGTACTGCAAACCTTGGTCTGCATACCTGTTCACGGTTAGACCCATACATACTGTTTCACACCAACCATTATGCTAGTTTTTAAATGCCTTGTATTATATAATGGTACTGCTACCACAGAGGGACTGGTACTGTATGACGATCTTGAAAGATATGCTATTGTGTTATGTAGTTATATTCTTAACAGTGAACAAGGTAGTAAGGAAGTATATAAAAAAAAAACTTATGAGGAAGTCCTTCGAATGGCAATCAAGCAGCTTTTGCTTATTACAGCTTACTTAAGATTAATTTGCAGATTTTTGCACTTGTTGGGACTAAAAGTTATCTGCTAACACCACTTTCAGGATCCTATTGGAAGCTGAATACTTGGAGACCTTGTTGTATGTTCCGAGTTTCTGTTGGAACACCTCAAGCTTCTAACTATCTAAATCTAGGCAAAACATATGCAATCAAGCAGAGATCATTTGGTTCTGCGGCCACTGATATTCCAAGGAATCCAGCATTTTCAAACTTGAATGCTGATGATATTAGCTATTTCAGAACTATACTTGGTGAAAGGAATGTTGTTGAGGATGAAGATAGATTATCAGCTGCAAATGTGGACTGGATGCGGAAATACCAAGGCTCAAGCAAGCTCTTACTCTTACCAAAAAGCAGCCAAGAGGTACCTGATTTCAAGTTCGTAGAAGTTTCACTTCTGTTTGGGTTTAAAATGTTATTGTATATCCTTTTGCAGAACAGCTTCAAAGGCTGTTGCTGAAGATAAAATTCTTATGCTCTGGGTCAACTAAAAACTAAAAAGGCAAAAATAACTTCTAATAATTGTGTTTAAGACTTGGGCAGAGGCTACTTTCTTAGGTGCAGTTGACAATGTAACCCAAGATAAATCAAATTCTACCCTCTCCAAAACTGCTTCTGCATAATTGTGTTTATTGCTTTTGCCTTGAATTTACTTCTATGCTTTGCAAGTTGGTGTTATCATGGTAAATTTGTTCCTTTGTGAGCTAGGTGATGGGGTCAAGTCATGGATGTAACTTATGTTTTAAGGTGTAAAACAACATAGATTCTCCTCAGATCCCACAGTGTCAGGAGCCTTGCACATTGATCCACCCAATCTTTTGCAAGATGGTGAAGATTTAGATTATGATAAGCAATATAAACATATTGTGAATCTGCAGCAAACTCTGGTGAGGATTAAAAAAAAGATAATTTATTCAGAAATAGAACTAGTCCAAGAGCTAGGAATGATCTGATACTAACAAACCACACAAAAGTAGATGTTTAGCTAGGAAGTCCAATCCTCTCACTGTATGAAAATTTTGTTGATCTGAGGTGGAAAAATATCACTGAGGGACAATCAGAAGTTAAATGACTTTAAATTAAACATCACGGTACTTAGAAAAGATTCTTGAGTTATTTCTCAATATACAAATAAGGAGCATGAGAGTCAAACAAGACACAGTGCCCTTTGATTTATCTGGTTTCTGCCACAATTATGGTTCTATTGGTTTTATCATAATCAGTTTCCACTTTGAGCACTTGATGATATGTATATATATATCATATTCAGTTCTATTAATCCTCTCATGTCGCCTTTTCTTTTATTTTTATCTTTGTTATATCTCTTTTCTTTCCAACTTTCAGGTGTCTAAGATTCTTCACCACTGCAATTCAAGAAAATTGGCAGTTGTCCCCCAAGGAGGCAACACAGGTCTTGTAGGAGGAAGTGTACCTGTGCACGATGAGGTACTATTCACTTTCAACATTTTTCGTGGTATGTAGCATCAGAATTATTAAATGTTAGGAATCTCTTTCAATGTTCAACTTTTGATAGTGGTCCAAGTAAATTCTGTAGTGGATAAAGAGATTTCTCCTACCTGTTGCATACACGATTGATGCCCTTTGTACATCCAAGATATGTATCGGTGCATGTTTGTGAGTAGATTAGGCTAAAAAGTAATCACTATGTTTTCTTATATGTCAACAAGAAGATTGGGAAATCATCATCTGATGAGTGGGTGTTGACCATCCAACATGATGATCTATGATAATTGTCCTCTTTGGTTTGTGCTTTCTATCTCTCATTTGATCTATCTGGAAACTAATTATTTCATATAGACACTGAAATTGGTTATAATCACTCTTGAGTAACTAATTAGAGCCTGAGTGGACATGCAGACTAAATCTTAGATCTTTTTTTCAAGGAGATGTAAATCTTATATTGCAGTGCATTTATATCTTGGTAGCAAGAGTAGTTTAATTAAAAGAAGATTAGGGTTGGCCACCAGTGTGGTGATGTCACTACTTCTTGTTGTTAATGAAGCTTGTAGACTTTAAGACTTAATTCTCATATATATTTTAGGATTTTCGGTGGTACTGGGCAACACACTAGCACCATAGCACTTCATGAAATTGGTACTGGACCAAGATTTAAATCCTTTTCATTCATAGTTTCATAAAATTCTAGAAGAGGCCTTTTGTTGTTCATTATCAGCTGAATCTCTATCTTGAGGACTTTGCTGTTGACTTGTTAAGACTTAATAGTTAATACTGCATCAAGTGATCAAGACGTTACCATACCACTCAAGGTGAAGAAATAAAGCTAAAATCATAATGAGAAGCAAATTCTGCAACAAAAGTTATTGCTCTTAAGGTGCTTATTTTCTTGCATTTAACTGAAGTTGTCAAAGAAAACCAAAAGCTAAAATGTATCTTAGTGATTGCTTGGTTGCCTATGCTAGCACCTAGGTTTTAGACAAGCCTTAAAGAAAACTAATCTATGTTCAGGTAGAAAAAAACTATATGCACATACAAACAGACATTATTTATTTTTAAATACATAACTACTAGCTATAATCAAAAGCATGACAGAAATATTCCTTTAATAATTTTTATGTGTTGCTAGAGCCAATCACACCTCAAACCAAGGTTCGCAATACCGTACCGTACCGGTATTTCGACCTGGGTTCGGTACCAGTACGGTACGGTATACCGAGCGGTACACCTGGTTGTACCGAGTACTGTAGCATGCTACAGTACTACAGTAACTGCTACAGTACTCGGACCGGTAACAGTCGATCCGCGTACCGAAAATCTGTCGGACCGGTACGTACCGCCCGTACCGGGCGGTATGGCTCGGTACGGCAAACCCTGCCTCAAACTTTGCTGGTCAAATTTTGATTGTTGATGTTATAATGGATATGGATAGCGAGTACTAAAAATTGCAATGCAGAAACCTAGGTTCCATATGTTACACATGGATTGATAACTATTGATCTAACGAAGAACTGACCTTGGATCATATGGCTCGGATAAAAATTAATTTTTAGTGATGTTGGCTGTAGAAATAAATATATTGCCCAATATACTGTTACTGTATTAATCTAACAATATGTTGAAACTGGTATGGGACCAAGATTTTAGATCTTGGCTAAAAAGAAAGAACTACTTTTTCTGGTCAAATCTAGTTTCATGCAGCATCACATAGATCCAAAGTTCTATTTTTCTATAGGACGTAAATGTCATCCTTGCCTGCTCTATATAAAATTATTCATCCATCCTGATAGTTCTATGGAGATAGGCCTACAAAAGTACACATGCCATATGTTGTCATGCCTACTTGCATTAAGGTACATAAGATTCTACTTATGCTTTTGTTTTTATTGATCTCACATCCTTTCAGGTGTGTAATGTTCTGCATTCAGGAGCATAAGATAACCATCTAATGCAAATTAGGATGCACCATTTTCACACTAGCACTAAACTGTTTTTTTGTCTAATGTCTGAATCCATTTTTCTATTTGGTAAATGTACTGTAGATCGCTGAGGAACCAGTACCTAATTAGGATTATGTCTTCACACTATTCTTGGCCAAACTTTGAAGAATGGCTGATTTTCCATTTTTTTGGGGTTCCTTTTATTGCTTTTGACTTTTTCCATCTGGTCTGCTGTGATATATTAGATCCATAGTCATAGATTGTTGTAATTTGTTTATTCTCTCTCTTGCCATTTTCTGGGTTTAATTTAGTGCAGATTGTGGCTTTTCGAGTTTACTTGCAGGGAAGGGATAGGAATGCCCCCTTTTCTTTTTTGCTTTCTTAGCCTCTACATAAGTTCTGTTCGTAATTGGTCGTTGGTGCTGGTATTTGACTAACTAGAGTTTTTCCTTCTGCCCCCTCATATTTCTTTCAAGACATGTAGTATTATGCTTAATTATGTTCGCTGCTCGTGATTCATGATCACTTGTTTGTACTTCAATTTTCCTTGACCAATTGGTTATCAATTAGGTAACACAAGACAGTTCTTTGTTATTGGGTCCCAGCTAGCTTGAACAAGATTATGAAGTTTGTGGATTTGTTTGATTATGTGTTAAGATCATATATCTAAAAATCAACATACTTGGTTTTGGAAATTTACATTGTCTTGATTGGCATATATTTCTTTGACCTCATTCCATGATATTATAGTACTTGACTATGCTACGTGTGCATTAAAATAAAACTCATAAGGAAAGGTATAACAAGGTATAAAATTTCAGTCTAATACCAGTTTTGCCACCTTATCAGAATGGTACATTACCAATGTACCAGATAATATGCTGACCTGTGTCATCAATTAAAAAAATTAACAAAAAAGAATACAAACCAGCACTGAGCCACATGGTCCAATGCTGACCTTCGATTGAACCAAAAAAATATCAGTCCAGTCAGTACATACCATTTCAACCATATTTGAAACCTTGGATGGTCTTTTGAGACATTTTGAGAGACATTTTGATTGCATTTCTTGCATCACTCTGCTTTTAGTGTTTTGTCTGGTTTTTAAAGCATCAACATATTGTATGCCACAAGCTGACCCCAAATAGTTGGGATATTATGGATTGTTGTTGTTGTAATGTATTTTGTTCCATGTCGAGAAGTTTGGGATAATAACAGATCTGTCATCTTGATCTATTATTGTTGGGTCCATCTTATCGTTAAAAGCCTCTTTACATGTGACAATTACATAATTCATTATGTCTATTCACTACTACAAGAAGTTGTAAGGAGGTCATCAAGAAGAGAACAAAATTACAGGTATTATAAGATAAATTATATGATTGCTTGAGTCACTCTAATTAAAATGTTTTCCAAGGTTTGCTGTACCACGACATATTGCCCGGTACATGCAGTATGTACCAGTCCCATAGGGGACCAGTACGGGTGGCACATACTGGTTTGTCAGTATGCCATATTGTACTATGTGTTGGTACGTCAGTATAGTTTGGTATGTACCATATCGATGGTCGGTTGGTACATCAGTACGGACTGGTAAGACCAACCATGGTATTTTCCTTGAGAAACTGTTCTCCCTTGCCTAAATGAAAATGGTCAATCAATATCAATGTTCCATATTGCATAATTAGCATTTAAGATGTTGTGACTCCTGCGGTTTTACTTGATAAAAAAAAGCTGAATTGGATGCAGTAAAGGGATAATAACTTATTTGGACAATAAAAAGACAAATGATGAAAGTGGAAGACAGAGCATTAGATGTACAAGGCTCCCATCAATTTAGAATCTGGGGAGGGCTAATGTAAACAACCTTACCTCTTTACATAGAGAGGCTGTTCTCATGATGATTCATGCTATAATCATTATATAATAATCATCCATAGAGAGGTTGTTCTCATGATGAGTCATGCTATAATCATTATATAATAATCATCCATAATCCTTGGTGTATTGCTGTTGCTGATATTGTAGCTATTGTTGTAGATATAGGTATTTATTAGCCTTAAATTTCTAAATTGAAAAAATTATCTCCCATGGGCTTGAGGTCATTATTAGTTGATTATGCTTGCAGGTAATTATAAATCTTGCATTGATGGACAAGATAGTCTCCCTCGACAAGGTAGCTACATCTTTCATTTTAGGATATCAATGGTAATATACTAATATCTCATTCAACATATCTGTGACTTCACAAGTAATAATATCATCTACTTACTTTTAGTGGAATTTATTTCTTTAGTTTTTCTAAGGTGTATAATCCTTCAGTAGATTAGCCCTCAATAAATATGAGAAGCAAAGTTCTCCTTGCGATAGTTTATCACTATCATCTTATATTTTTGTGCATCAGTGTGAGGTTATATACAACTCAAAACTGACATGCTTCTATGGAATATTTGTTAGAGTTTTGTTCCCGGTTATCAACATAATGTTAACCATCTGGACTTTGTCACAAGTTCCTAGTAAAGGCAAACTTAGATTGAATTGAGACTTACCTCAGAACCCAAAAGTATAATTAGAAAGTCTTTATTTGTTGATTACTTTTTATGTTGATGCAATTAAAGCAACCTTACCAAATTACCTCTTCTATCTAGAATGTGGAGATGACAAATTTTGCTATGGGAAGAAGTATCCATTACTAGGGCCTTATTAAGACAACAAATTATTAGATCACAAGCCCCTTTAACATAATAAGTATCTTATCTATAAATTATAAACATTTCTACTTCTAAAGTGATTTGAACTATGATGACCTTGTTCGGTACACCCACTGACTTAAAAACTTGGGCCGCATTGTCATAGATTAAGCTGGAATTGCTTAAGTCGTGAGACAACCTTATGTTATATATTCGCAAAGGGTCAGCCTAATTACAAATCGTTCAGGTCCTGAAGGACCTACAAAAGAGTAAATTGATTAGTTTTGAAAATGAATAGTGGACAAGTCCCGACGTCTCGCAAAGAGAGTAGCTTTACAAGTAATTCAGCAAACTCTTGGTGTGCAAGAGAGAAAAGAGAGGAAGGAGAAAACAAGGACTTTAAAAGACAAACAAACTATCGCAAGTCCACAAACGACTACTTATCAGGTGTCGGACATGTTGGTAAGTTCCCATAGGCTTTATGTGGTAACTTGTGAATCCAATCAATGCTCAAGACTACCTTAAACTCCTATCTAGTCTTGTGCCACTTGGGTGGTTCTGGGGTGTTGAGATGGTTGATGTTTCACATTGCACCACAGCTTGTAGAAAAGAAAACAAGCCATGACATGAACATGAGAAAACTAAGCCGTTCTAGGGCATCATTCTGGTGAGCTATCACTCTACAGTCATGAAAACTATTCCTGCTAATAGTTTTCAAGCAAAAACACACAAAAACAAGGTAAAACACGTTGCCAGACATATGCATAAGCAAACAAAAGTGACGAATAGTCTGTTGATGAAGGTGTTGTAGGTGCGTGACAACCGTCCGTGACATTCTTCCCCACTTAAACTGTCAATGCCCTTGTCGACGCTTGCTAGTAGGCTTCATGACTGCTTCTTCGTGTCGTAGGGTGTCTTTAGGCACCCAACTGACTTTTGTCTAAGGAAGCTTTCGCTACTTTTCCAAGTAATCGTTCTGCTATGCTCTATGGGGTAGTTTTGTCTTGCGATCTACTAAAATGACTTCAACTTGCTTTTTGTATGAGGCTTTGGTGAGGGGTAGTCGAGTTGGAACACTTCGAGAAGCATCTTACGGATCTGAGTAGTAGGCTTTCAAGTTGCTTACATGGAAGACATTGTGAATTTACATTATGAATTTTGAGCCATGCCGACAATTGCAACCTATATGATACATTGCTTACCCTCTTGATAATTGGGAAGGGCCCTTCATATTTGTGCACCAGTCCCGTGTGCACTTTATGCTTAAAGAACTGAAGTGATGTAAGTTGGAGCTTCACTAGTACTAAGTCGCCGACTTTAAACTCCTGTGATCGCCTTCCTAGATCTGTGTACTTTTTCATCTTTTTAGCTACTTTCTCCAAGTAAGCCCGGACAATATGTGTGTTTCAGTGCTATTCCTTTGCAAAGTGACACGTTGATAGGGTACTCGTGGTAGAACTGACCGTCAAGGTATGAGGAGTTGACGGCTATTGTCTAGTAATGATCTCGAAGGGGCACTTGTTAGATGTAGAGCTCTGTTGTAAGTTGTAGGAGAATTGGGTTATGTCCAACAACTTCACAAAATCCCGTTAGTTGACACTCACGTAGTGTCGAAGATATTGCTCAAGGAGTGAATTTGTTCTTTCAATTTGGCCATCCGTCTAGGGGTGGAGGCTTGTGGAGAAGTATAACTTAGATACCAGTAGTTTGAACAGCTCGGTCTAGAACCATCCCAAGAACCACGCGTCTCGATCGCTGATGATATTGTGCGGAACTCCCTAATACTTCACCATATTCTTCATCATCAACTTAGTCGCCTCCTCCGCTGAGCAATGTAGGGGTGCAACAATGAATGTTGCATACTTTGAAAATCAATCGACCACCACGAGTCTTGATTCAAGTCCTCCTACCATCGGTAAGCTTGATATGAAGTCCAAGGAGTTACTCTCCCACCACCTTTCTAGTATGGGCAATGGCTCCAAAAATCCCACTGGCTTCCGTTGCTTTACATTATCTTGTTGGCAAGTAAGGCATGTTCGAACATATTCCTCCACATTTGTCCCTATCTTCGGCCGATAGAAGGCCCTCTCCACGAGAGCCAATGTTCGGTGAATGCCCGGATGTCCTGACCAAAGGGAATCATGACACTCTCTCAAGAGTTCACGCCTCAAATTGTTTGCTCGGAGAACATAAAATCTATTCCCTTTGGTGTAGACAAATTCCTCCTAAACCCAATATCGTCGTGCCTTTCTTTCTTTGATCAGTTACATCGGGGTTATTGCTTAGGGATTACTGTACAGTCCATCCCTGATCCCATAATGGAAATTGGAGTGTAGTTGACTTGCTTGGCCTCCGCCCTCTAGTTGCATGGCATTCCTCAGCTCCACTTTCCTACTTAATGCATCGGTCGTGACATTTGCTTTTCTGGACTTATACTCCATTTTTATATCAAATTCAGCCAGAAAGTTCTACCATCGTGCTTACTTTAGGGAGAGCTTCTTTTAAATTTGGAAGTAACTCAACGTGATATTGTTCGTCCTTACCACAAATCGCGTTCCGAGAAGGTAGTGCTGCTATACTCATACACAGTGAACCACCGTTGTCATCTCCTTCTCGTGCACCGGATATCGTCGCTCGGTCTCATTGAGCTTGCGGCTCTCGTAGGTCATTGGGTGACCCTCCTACATAAGTACTCCCCCAATAGCGAAGTCTAAATCATCTATATAGTCTTTAAAAGGCTTCCCATAGTTTAGCAATTTGAGTATTGATTCTTCTAACACAGCAGCCTTTAGGTCTTGGAATATCACTTTACATTTGTTTGACCATTGCCAAGGCTGCTCCTTTAGCAACTTCGTTAGTGATGCTGCACGCTTCGAGCACCCAACTATGGAGCGTCGATAATAATTGACAAAACTAAGGAAGGATCTCAGCTCCGGTACCTTCTTTGTTGTTTGCCACTCTGCTACAGCTTGCACCTTCGATTTATCTATTTGAATGGATCTTTTGTTGATTCGATGCCTCAAGAATAAAATCTCCGTTGGGGCAAAGTAGTACTTCTCTCTTTTCACGAATAAAGTATTCTCCTTGAGTACTTTGAAAATTGTTTGAACTTTGAAGGTGCTTGACATGCTTCTCGAGTGTTTGGCTATAAACAACGATATCATCCAAGTAGACAACCATAAACTTGTCTAGATACTCGTTAAATAGATAGTTCATGAGAGTACATAATGTGGCTAGAGCATTGGTTAAGCCGAAAGGCATCACCAAGAACTCGAATGCTCCATACCTGGTCACAAAGGTGGTCTTCGCTTCGTCACCTTTTGCTATGCGCACTTACTAGTACCCCGACCGAAGGTCGAGTTTAAAAAAAAATACTTTGCCTTGCCTCCATGAGTGGCCTCCACATTAAGTGGCTCTAGCTTTGTTGTAGCCACGGAAGTTAATTCACCTTTTTGTAGCCCCTTCTTTAGTTGTAACGTCGATGTTTGTTATGGGTTCTTGGTTCCTCCTCGAGAAATTAGAACCACACAAGGGTCATTGTCTCCTATCAGGCATAGAGAGTTTAGAAACAACATTGGCACAAACTTCGCTGCATGCATGACCTCCATTCCAAGGATCACTTGGAAGTCATCCAATGACACTGCCATCATGTTTGTGCTTCCACTCCATGTCCCGATTTTGATAAGGACCTCCTTTGCTAGTCTAGAGATCTGCTTAACCTCTAAGTTCATAGCCTTCATTCGACTTGGGCTCTTCTCTAGGTTAAGCCCAGGTCCCCTAACTTCTTGGTTGATAATGAAATTATGGGTAACGCTCATGTCCACCATCGCACGGGTTGTTCGATCATTTAGTTTAATGTCCACGTATATCATCTCGTTGCTCCTTGCTTTTTGTTGCTTTCTCATGTTCTCCCCCACTTGACCTCGCAATGCGTTTAAGAAATACATTGCTCCTATCTGGGGTCCTTGCGACTTCTCATCGTCGCTGTTGGATTCCAAACTACTCGAACTAAGAGCGACGACCTTGCCCTTATCTGATCTGGGGGGATGAATTGATGCTGTCGATGCATTGAGTGCTTGCTTTTGTGTGCACTCCCTTATCATGTGCGGTTCTTCACACAAGAAGCATCCTCCAACTTTTTTTCTTTTGCTTGATTGTAGACTCCCCTCGGGAATACTTAGATGGGCGATTTTCTGAAGATTGTTTCTTCTTCCCCGACTCCTTTAAGGAAACAAAGTCGATGAGCCTTTCTGCAACTGTGATTGCCTCGACCAAACCGGTGACATTCCTTCGATGTAGTTCCTGTTGTGCCCACGACTTCAGGCCATCGAGGAAGCTGAACAGTTTGTCCTTCTCAAACATGTCTTATATGTCTAGCATCAATGCTGAAAACTATGTTATATGGTCTCGAATGGAAGTGTTTTAACGGAGTTGTCTCAGCTTCCTTCTTGTGACAAACTTAGTGTTCTCGGGTGGAACTGAGTTCTCAACTCTTGTTTCAAGTCCACCCATGTGTCCACTCGACATCGACCTTGTTGGATCTCTTCCCGATATGTTTGTCATTAAAGTTTTGCGTCCTCATTCAGATACATAGTTGCTATTAAAACTTTGGTTTCTTCAGAATCGGGCTTCGTAGCTTGGAATTACTGTTCCATGTCGAACATAAAGTTCTCGAGCTCCTCGCATTCCTGGCAACCCTGTAGCAATGCGGCTCGGGTGCCCTCAAGCTTTGTGGCAGAGCAATGCAGGTGTTGTTCCCTGTCGCATTAAGAGTTCTCGTGAGTAACATAATCCTGGACATGAATTCCACCACGACTTCGTGTAGGTGCTGCACGGAGTCTTTGGTGTCTTTCGTTAATCGATCTACTTGGAACTCGACCTTGTCAATCCGAGATTCTGTCTCTTCTTGCGAGTTCTCTACCCTAAGAAGCTTTTGTTGGCCTTGGTAGAGTTCCTCTAGACTCGCTTCGAGAACATCAAGGTGGATTTCCACAGCTGTAAGCCTCTCCTAATATCTTCTCTTTTCGGTTGGCAATTCAGGTTGGGCTTCCTTCGCTTGCGGAGAATAGTTAACTTCTTGCTTGCCATTTTCGTTGCCACGCTTCTCTTGGGCGGCCCCAATAGCTTGAGAGCGAGTCTGTACTTGCAGCCCACCTACAGCAATGGTCCGACTTGCCCCATCGTGCTCGATTCACCACGGTGCTTCGCCACGGCGAGATTGTAAACTTTTGTTATTTGCTCGAATTGTTTGTTCGCTCTGATATCACAATGTCACAGACTAAGCTAGAATTGCCTAAGTCGTGAGGCATTCTTGCGTTATCCGTCGCAAAAGATTAGCCTAGTTGCAACCTCGTTCAAGTCCTGAAGGACCTGTAAAAGTGCAAATTGATTAGTTTCGAAAATGAACGACGAATAAATCTTGACGTCTCGTAAAGAGGGTAGCCTTACAAGCAATTCAGCAAACACTTGGTGTGCAAGAGAGGAAAGAGAGGAAGGAGAAATCAAGGATTTTAGAAGGCAAATGAACAATCGCAAGTCCACAAACGATTGCCCATCGGGTGTTTGGGTGTGTTGGCAAGTTCCTGTAGGCTTTACATGTGAACTTGTGAATCCAATCAATGCCCAGTACTACCCTAAACTCCCATCCAGTCCTGTGTCACCTGGGTGGTTCTAGGGTGTTGAGATAGCTGACATTTCGTATCGCATTACAGCTTGTAGAAAACAGGCCATGACACGCGAAAATCTAGGATAGTTTTGCTCATTCTAGTGAGCGGTCGCTCGATAGCCATGCAACTGTTCATGTTCATAGTTTTCAAGTAAAAACATACAAAACAAGACAAAACACATTGGCAAAGATATGTACAAGCAAACAAAAGCGACGAATGGTCTGTTGATGAAGGTGTTATGGGTGCACGACAACCATCTGTGACATGTTACACAATGCTTATATCAAAGTCACTATTAGTAGTTGCAAATATTATGTTTGCTATAAAAAAATTCTTTTGGATCTTATCCATAATTGAATCCATTATGTTTGCCATGTTACACGAATCCATTATCCACTTTTGGATTGGGATTAATGGTGTTATAATATTCTCCAATCAGTGGCTTAATGTCCATATCAATGCTCTAAATCATGTAGCATATATAATTATTATTTGTAGATGACATCTGAGAAGCATGACACCAACATTAACTACGTGCCTATGATATGTCTTTTGCATTGCTCATGGGCTGGCCTTTTTTGGGGGCCCAATTAATTGCTTATCTGTAAAGTATGCTTTGTTATCAATAGCTACTACTGACATAATAGCTATGAGTAAAGCGGAACCTGTGCCACATAGCCCAGAATATGGGCTAGGTATAAGCCTAACTAATATTAAGTTCATCAACTGTTGTGTACCTAACCTAACTCACATCACAAATACTCTCATGATTCAAGCGTTTGTGGAGTAGGGAGTCCAAAGAGTTCTCTGTATGTTTTGTCACATACCAAGACCTGATTCCTTTCTGCCGCACTATCTTTCGGTTAGCCATTAGATTGATTGAGCAGAATAAAATATGCACAATGCTTGCCATGTAGGATCCACCTTACAGACAAGTTAATAAATGTACACATTCTACATTTCTGACCTTGTAACCCACTAAGATGTCAATCAGAAGTGGACTTTGCAGCATTCTGCTAAAGTCCTTTTCTGAAGGTACATGAAAGATTTGAAGAAACTTACATAGATCAACAAGCACACTATCCATGAAACACAGGGCTTGTTTCAGAAGATGTAGCACAAAATAATGTTTGAGTTTTTATCAAACAAAATTGATAACTGGGATTATCAGGAATAATAAAGTATTTTTGAAAAATAGATAATAGAAATACGTACTATGCATTATATATTTGATGTTGCAAATGTTCATCATGAGAGTATTTGCAAGAAGAATTCCTGGAACAATGAATAACCTCTAATCTCCCCTGAGTGTATATGATTCTCGAACAAGTTTGCTTAAGACTTGTGAGCAGCTGGAGATATCTCCCAATGAAGAATCACTTCCTAATATTTGTATTATTCTCTTGTAGATCGCCCATTGTCATTTGGACTACCGCAGGTGATCTTCTCTCCTTTGACCTCTATTCCTGTCAAATGAAGGTTCCTACGGAAGATAAAAATTATGAGCTATAAATGAGGAAGGAAAAACTGATAGGAAACAAATTTGATTCACTTTTGAAAGTGATTCAAGTTCAAAGAAATCATACTATAGGCATAAGTGAAGAATTCCTGCAGGATGATAAGCTTCTGGTTTTCATTAAAAGTTACTGCCTTGTAGGGGTTAGCAGCCTATTAAAGAGAGAGTGACTGGGACTTACGAAGCAACAGATTATAAGATTTTGACATATCCCTAATCACAATCAAACTAGTTGTCGTAACATGGAGAAGAATTTGATCAGATTATTTGGAATTTATGAGAAAGTCAAAAGATACCATATTTTTCATGGAAAATTGTGTTAATGACATGCTTATGACACACTGCTTTCAGATCAATGGTATTCTTGTTTGTGAAGGGGGATGCATACTGGAGAATCTAAGCTCATTCTTAGAAAATGAAGGGTAAGACCTCATGAGTATCTGCGCCTTATATATTACAAGTAATACCATGGCATTTTTTATTCTAAAAAACTGCTTGATGTCTTTAAAGTGGAAAAATCAATTAATAATATAATATTTTCTTTTTTTACTTTTATCTTTGATGATTGTGTTTATGTATTTTTAATGGTGATTTGGTGATTACTTAATATTTTTTTTATCTTTCAGTTAATGGGTTGTACAGCAAAGTGACTGCACAGTTACTACACAATTATATGGAGAAGTTACAGTCCATAGATGCAACTTAAGGGAACTTTGCTAGAATCAATAAAAAGAGATATGACTTCTTTTGATCTAGAGACATTGGCCTTCAAGGATCTCAATAGCCGGAACAAACCATGTAGCCTACTCCAAATGGTTGATATAATTTACGTTCTTCTTCTTATTGTTATTATAATAATTATTGTTGTAGTATTACAGATATAACTTGGCCAGCAAATAAAAACATGATGGTGGTTCTTGTGGCCTTTAATGATCTCCCAGATGATGATTTCCTTTGTTCCTTACTTCCGGCAATTAGGTGTGGACAATCTTATATAATGTGAATGGTTAGAAAATTCAAATAAAAGTGGAGGGCATCAATTCTTGAACTGTTGAAGACCACATCACTAGAATGACATCCTCCTATCACCCAGTCAATATCAAGAACAAAAGTGAATAAATGTGCTGAACAAATGAGTTGAGCCAGACTTAATTTTCTTGATTTGTGCATGGAATCCCAATTATTATTTTCCATATTTAGCAGAAGAAATTCTTAGACAAACCCAAGATTCTCAGAATACCCATACTTTATAATGCTGTCTATAAAGTTTAGGTGCATGTGGCAGGAAAAGTTATTCTAAGGAATCACAAAGAAGAAAAAGGAATATGGTTACCAGGAAGACACTGGACTTGAAAATTGAAACTTTTGTAGGCTTTTAGCAACTTTACATTGGAAATATAAATGGTTTCTTGATTACTCATCAATTCTAAAATTTTAGTCTTATATGGAGAGCTGGAGTAGTGCCTTTTCTTCTAATATCATATGTTGCACTGAAATTAATGTTTCGAATATCTGTTCAGCATTTTTATTTTTTCTCAAACAAGCATTGTTGTCACCTCTTTCCTTGAAAGTATGTTTGTTAAAAAAAGTTGCAAGTCTCTAGTATTGTTTCATGGTTATTCTTGATTTATTCTTTTGCCATCTATATATGACCTTTTTTCTTTTACTACAAACTCTTACATTCTGTTTGAATTTCTCTTGGGCAAATCATTATTTTTTTCTATACTCTAAATAGCAGTCTATATGAGGAAAGTACTATTTGCTTAAAGTAAAAAAAAAATCTTAATACATAATTAATATCACTGCAAAACCTAAAAGTCAAATTTGGCTTGCATAAAGTGCATCTTTCTGGATGATTGACTTATTTGTATTTAGCATTGGAATATTATGTGGGTTCTTCTTTTAGATTTATTATGCCACTTGACTTGGGGGCAAAAGGAAGCTGCCAAATTGGTGGAAACATCTCAACCAATGCCGGTGGCTTACGCTTTGTACGTTATGGGTCACTTCATGGAACTATTCTTGGTAATTATAATGTTTTTTTTGTTTTGTTTTGATGAAGGTAATGTGATGCTTGCTGTTATGTTTGCACAATGTTGGTGCTATCTTTTGTAAGACTCTTTATAGTTGTCTATCATATAGCATAATCTGTTAGTTGAATTTTTAATTTTTTTTTTACTTTTGAAGGTGGCATCATTGTAATACCTGATCATTATTCCATTTTGGTTTACTTTTAACCTAATTATCAAACGTCCCTCTTTGTTTGCAAATATTAGTTTTGGTCAATTCTGTTTTCTTTTTTTGACTGATAAATCATCTAATCATTGAATTGTTTCCAATAGAAATGACGTTAGTTGTGAGACAATCTCGAAATAGAATGAAATGACTTAGTTGTGAGTTAGATCTCAAAATTGATTGGATTCCATGAAAGAATTTAGCAGTTTTGGCAATGTCTATCAAATTTATACTGTCTTTGACTTCTGTTGCCTGCAACTTACCATCATGCAAAAGAAGTTGGGCCTCTTGTAAAAATTTGATGAGATAGCTAATGTTATTGACTATGTTAATATATTCCATCCCATACTGATATTTCTTGTGGTATTTTTCTTGCCACAGTTTATTATTGTTTGACTAATGTTATTAACATGTTCGAAATAATTCATCGAAGTCTTGTTAGGATATGGCATATAAATCACTTGGGTCTACAACATTAGATGGTATTAGATTCGACCTGAATGATAAAATGAGTTGGGTGAACAGTTCTTTCAAAGCTTAAGCTAGTAGGTAAAGACCTAACACATATATGAGCTTTGATTTGCCTTCACATGCGAGCCAGATGACTAATAGGCTGACAAGTGGATTCAATGGCAAGCCAAAGTTTGATGAGACAGACGATGGGAAATATCCAGGATATGAAACAATGTCCGCTTCTTCCGAAAGCTTAAGCAAGGTCCCATGATAATTCATAAGCTGTAACATATTGACCTATTTATGTGCCATGGAGTCTTCTTTATACTATATTTGGAGCATATTGGTTATGCTTCATTATATATGCTTGTTTTATGACATTATATATATATATATATATATATATATATATATATATATGGAGAGAGAGAGATTTTCATATTTGTAGTCTTTGGATATTTTGTTGGAAATCCCTGGAAATTTACGAATAACAAATATTGGGACCAGCCTCACAGTGACAGCTGAGACTATCATTGGGATATGCAATCTTGAAAATTCTGTTTAAGCAATAAAAGAGTTTTGTTTAGGCAAAACCTATCAACTTAATTCATTATGAAATGAGTACAAAGGTGAGAAAGACAGGAAGAGAGTAGGGAGAAGAAAATATGGGGAGAATAAAGGTTTTAAATAAACAAAAATTAACTCTTTGGATTAGGTTTGCAATGGAAACTTATTTTTTGGAAATCATTTGCTTGTTTTGTTGTAAAATGAGAAAGCTATATAGTACTCAACAACCTCCTGAAAATTAATTATAGGTAAACATACGAGGAGGATATTACCATCTGATGTTTGCATCAGAGCAGCAGGCAGTGAAATATAATTGCAGATAACTATAAGTTTGCGATGATAGCATATCAGAAAGTTCACAAGTGTGTGCTCTTTTTGTTCAGTATTCCCTTTTTATGCTTGGTATATAATTAGCCAGTAATCAATTTTCTCTTTACTCATGAGATCTTGGGTTTACGTTTTCAGGCCTTGAAGTTGTATTAGCTAATGGAACTATTCTTGACATGCTTGGCACTTTACGCAAGGACAATACTGGATATGATTTGAAACACTTGTTTATTGGTAATTTGGTATATGTAAATAAATGAAATTAGCTGATTTCACCTGTTTAGATTGATTCTTTGGGTAGTGGAGTACTAATGAATTTTGCAATTGGTTTAGGAAGTGAAGGTTCTCTAGGGATTGTGACCAAGGTTTCTATTCTTACACCACCCAAGCTAATGTCAATGAATCTTGCATTTCTTGCTTGTAAAGATTTTACAAGTTGTCAGGTAGTTCTCTTTTCTGTTTGTTTTCATATTGTGTACACCTAGATCTTTATCATCAATTATTAAGTTAAAAAGATAAGCATACACATGATATGACATTTGTTAACAAAATTATCAAGGTTTAGAGAGAGAGACAGAGAGAGAGAGAGAGAGATACAAGAGGCAAAGGAGGTGTTAACTCTTGTGAGAAGGCATGACAATAGTGACACAACTAGATGAAGTAGGAAGTGACAAAAGTAGGAAGAGATAAAGACCAGTGATTTAAAAAGCGCTAGGCGCCAAAAGGCACTAGGGTCCAAAAACGCCCGAGGCGCTAGGCGCTCGTCTAGGCGCTCGCCCGAGCGAAGCGAGGCGCTAAAATATAAAAATATATAATATAATTAATATAATTATTTAAATAAAAAAATGCTATTAAATTAAGAAAATCGAGTACAAAATCACAATGTCATATTAATAAAAAGTCTCAAAAATCAAAACAATAAAATTTTACATCAAATCTATTGAGTTGCTCTGTACACTTGCCATTTATTTTGAAACCTAACAATAATTTTAAATAAACAAAAATTAATAGTATTAAAATCAAAATAATATATTATTAATCCAATAAATAAAAATGCTATTATTAGTATACAGTTAGTAGTATACTGTTAATATACTGTTAACAGTATAGTGAGAAGAGTGTGAGAAGACCGAGGCTGCTAAGGCAACGACAGCGGTAGCGGGAGCTGCGAGCGGCAGCGAGAGTGGGAGCGGGAGCAGCGAGCGGCGAGCGACGACAACAGCGATGAGCGACGATTGTGGCAGCGGCGAGTAGCGACAATGGCAACGGCAGCAGAGAGCAACAACAACGGAGAAGAAATCTCAACGACAAAATCGCGAGTGTTAGGGTTGGGGAAGTCGGGGAAATCATGAGAGGGAGCCTATCGGTGATTTAGTTGGTTCGATTTAACCAACTAAAGTACCGGAGACCGAACCAGACGTAAAACACTGGTTCGGTCGCCTGATTTAACCCGGGCGCCCGCCCGAAGCGCCCGGCGCTTGGGCTCGGGCGAGCGCCTAGGCGGTGCCTCGTTGAAGCGAGGCGCTCGGGCCTCGCCTCGCCTCGCCCGAGCGCCTAGGCGAGCGCCCGAGCGCCTATTGAAATCACTGGCAAAGACAATAGTGACACAACTAGATGAAGTAGGAAGTGACAAAAGTAGGAAGAGGCAAAGGAACACCAGGAGGGGGGAGGGAAAAAAGAAGACAATTGTTGATACATAAAAACAAAAAGAACATATAAGGGGACCAGGCGGTAGACTTACTGCCATGGTTTACAGTTTTCGTACCAGATCGGTACCAGTCAATGGCCAAACCAACATGGGTCCTGCATACCAACATATAGTAAGCCATCATGCACCATGACATAATTTATTAGGGTTTCAAGTTGAAACTTTCAACCTCCTAAAATCCCAACAGAACCCTTATTTCATGGTTGTTTCCTACTTTTTAAAGATTAAGACAGACAAGATTCATATAATTTAAGTGGTTTAAGTTTACAAAACATATATTGCACTAAGACATGAAGTGGAAAAGGAACACAAGCAGTATCTAAAGAAATAAGAATACATAGTAATACCCAAATAGGCTAAGAGTCACCTAAATAATTAATGATTGAATAATAAGATCATATACCTGCTTGTATCATCAAATTGATTTTCGTGATTCTGTGGTGGATAGGTTGGTGTCGTCGACCTGAGGCAACTGTAAATTAATATGGTGCCATGCTTCAGATGGCCATTAGATCGAAAATCTAACCCAAGTCAGCCCAAGATTGAATTCATGTGGATCTAAACTAATCCGATGAAGATGAAATTTAGATCCACAAAAATCTAGCTTAAAACCATGCCCTTGATCATTGTGGTTGTAGCGTAGATAGGCTTGATCATTGTGGATCAAGTCCTAATTTATGTGTAAAACAAAGATAAATCTTAAAAAAATCTCTAATCTTGGCCTAATTAAACCTAGAATCAAGTCATTAAGCTAAGAAATAATGTTTGGATTTACTGAATTTTGAAGAAAAATTCCACCAAATCTTCAATTTCAGAATTTGTTTTCTCCTTCAATATTTCTTAGATTTGGTCAAGAATTGAGTGGGCTTTGGAAGGATTAGGGTTGATGAGAGAAGGGAAAGAGAGGGTCAGGATGCTGTTTCAGAGGAAGGTACAAACAAGAGGGCTGAAAAGCTCTCTTTTTCAGCCCAAAAGAGATGCCTGTGGTCCTCTGGAGATCAGGGTATCCCGAGTGGGCGTACCAGGCAGTAAACCCTGTTTGGATGTTTCGCTACTAGACCGCATGGTACAGGACAGTCAGTGTCTCGATCAGATAGCATAACGTACTAGGTGAAAACCTGTGGTTCAAAATGTAAAACCATGCTTACCGCCCTATACACCTAGTTTGGACCCTAAAATCTGTTTAGTACATCAGGTACAACAATCATACTAGACGGTAGCAAGGTGAAAACCTGTGGTTCAGGTGATGGTTCACGTTCTGATTGGTAAATATCGGCCTGTACCATCTGCTATGCCTGGACGTTAATACCTTGCTGATTATTACGGTCATTTTGTACTAGCCCCGTAGCACATCCTGACATTTGAGTGCAAATACTGTTTCTTGCAACTGTCTAAATTTTCTGAAATACTTTTGATTATTCAATAGTATTGCTATACAACATGAAAGTCAGTAAATTGTTTATCGAACTCAAGAATTTCATCTATATGTCACCATGTGCTATTGAATGCATAAACTTTTTCATAGACACGTGTAACCTGTAGGTACTAATAAATGGACAAAAAATTTATAGTTTAGTACAGGGTTTTGAATATTGGTCTGTATCGGCGTATTGAGCAGGTATGTATCGGTATGTATCTCGCTAGGGTGTACCGTCGGTATGCTAGGGTGTACCGATGGTACACCCTAAAACCTTAAAAATACCTCCACCTACCACACTAGGGTGTATCGACCGGTATGCCTCGGTAACGATCAAAATCTAAGGCGGTACCGGTTAAAACACTAGTACTGCCCGGTAGAGAGCGGTTCGCTTACCGGTATCCTCTTGGACCGGCACATACTGCTCGTATCGAGCGGTATACATCGAAATTGAGAACCTTGGTTTAGTATTCATGTTTGATATCTTTTATGCCTAAATGAAATATAACCTTCAATGATGTAATCTTATGTTTGCTTATCACTTGAGATCGTTTCACCTTTCCAGAAATTACTACTGGAAGCTAAGCGAGCACTGGGCGGGGTTCTTTCTGCATTTGAATTTATGGATAGCCATTCAATGGATTTGGTAAGTTGATATCTAATATGATTGTCTATTTTTGAAAAAATCTACTGATAGAAGGTTCTACTTTTAAGTTTTAACACAGCATGCATCAACTTTTGGTTTTGTCAATGGCTCTCATAGTTAGTGCTTTCTATTAAATATGACTATAGTAGGACCTTGCTTCTAAAGGGTTAAACACCACTGTAATGCTCTAGGAGGAGTCCCATGTGCATGTTTAACTTACTGGGTACTTGAACATCCTTCAACCACTTCCTGTTTTTACAAAAAGCATGCTGTGTAATCATTTCCACATTTTTTTTCCATTTAACAAGAAAGATTTAGATTAAGTGATGCTATAATAAAATATTATTACTAGTTTTTTATTCCTTAGTCTGATCTTGATACAAAATCAATAAAAGCCTTGATGACATCTTTACTTTGCTCTTAGAATTTCAGAAAAAATAATAGATTGAGCAAATGATGGCCTTTTCTCCAAATTCCAATATCAATGATATGAAATGTCACTTTTATTATTAGTTTGTAATTATTATACTTTTATATTTGACTTGAAGGTTCTGTCTCACTTGGATGGTGTTCGCAGTCCTTTACCATCCTCCTTGTATAACTTCTATATTCTTGTTGAGACAACTGGTAGTGATGAAACATATGATAAGTAAGTTGAGCTTGTCACCTTTATAAATTTTCAATAATTTATTCTCCTATTTGTTTGACATTATGTTTAGTTTGTGTAACATAGCCTCATTTTTATGGTTATTGTTTCCATTTTCAAATAGATTCTTTTCTCTGGATTTTTGTAGCAAATAAATTTAGAAATACATTTAGAGAAAAACAACTTCTGAACTTAAATAACAATTCTGTAGTGCAGGTACTTGCACATTTCACAAACTTGATAAAACTAAATGTCTTCCTAGGAAAAAAATTGACCACTTTAGTATCTCTTAGACATATTAAACTAGGTAACATCATCCTAGGCGAAGTGAAATTACTCAATTATTACTTTAAAGGAACGGAAGATATGCAACCCTCTTCAGAAAAGTTTGGAAATGAAGCTCAAGATAAGCTATGTTGAAAAATGGGTGCTTCCACCTATTTCTCTTAACTTATCATCTATCATGTATCTTCAGTCCAACAACTTGCAAGTTTAAATTTTGCATTTGCTTGTAATTTCATCATCTTGTTTTTACTCACTTTTGAGTAAAGTTTGTAATTTCATATCATATTGGCATATCGAGCTTAGCTTGGTATGGTACAGTATAAGTGTACCGAGCAGTATGCCAGAGCATATCGCTCGTGATATATATATATATATATATATATATATATATATATATATTAAAAAATAGAAAAAAATAGCGAAGTCGCCGTGTTTCTTCTCCCTGCGCTCCACGCGGACGAGGAGAAGATGCCGAGGCCTCGTCGCCTCAAACGACGAGGAGGCGACATCTCATCTGTGATGTCCGGCGAGGGAGGGCGGCGACAGATTGGGATCGTCGAGGGAGAGCCACGCCGGATCTCCAGGTTCTCCCTTTTCTTCTCCCTCTTCCTTCTCCCTTAACTAATACCGCCCGGTAGCGGGCGGCGACGGTCGAAATCGACTGTTACCGATCGATTTCGGACGGTAACGGGGCGGAAACAGCCCCAATCGACGGTACCACCCGGTAGAGGGTGGTCCTAGCAGACCGGTATGTACTGCTCGGTACAGGTGGTATCATTCGAAATTAAAATCCTTGCTTTTGAGAGACAACATTTTCACTTGCCATGACACATAATGAACGTGAAAGACTTTTTTTTCATGGATATTATGAGCATAGGTTTCATTTATTCTACATCAATCTTAATATTTCAAAACCCTATATGTGACTGCATATTTATGTGTGGTCATATGTATTCATGGGGACTATGTTGCCACATATGTGGTCCTCATTGCATGAATATGCCACCACAAAATGGTGGCCCTACATTATTCCATGTTTTGCTTTGGGTTCACTTTTAATTCCTCCACAAGTAAACCAACATACATTGGATCTGATTCTGTTAGAGGGCCTGTCAAGCATCAAGCTCTCTCTGTGTATCTTGGTCTCCCACTAAGGTCTGAAAGGCTACTGTTGGTGGATCAGATGCCTCTCTAAAACAAAGTGGAATTTTGGTTCGATGGCAAGAAGAGTAGATACTCCTTTGCAAGTAGGTTGCTGTTACAGTCGCTAACTTTCCTATCCAGTTTTTCTCTATCTTTTCCTGCCACTTTTGGCTTCTAAAGCTCATAGAGAAAGCACAGAAGAATAGCGGATGTGTTTGGTGGATAGTTAATTGCTCAATTATCTAGAGATTTATGAATTGGGATTGCTTTGGAGTCGTTAACCTAGAAGATATAAATTATGCTCATTTTGACAAATGGTGGTGGAGAACATAAATAGCGCATGGCTGAACTTGGAAGAGAGCTTCTATAAATTTTTCTGGCTGACAAAGCCACTCTGAAGTCTGAAGTGATAACTCATTTAGGAACTCGTTTTTGCCAACATGGATAGGGATATTATTTATCAAATAATCATTTTTTACTTCTTGATTTATCTTGGGCAATGATTAAAATGTTAGATTCTGGAAGGATGATTGAATTGTTCCCATGGAGCATTGTTACCTTGACATGTGCTCTTGCTTGCTCAGTCAGTCTATCAAAATGACCCAAGCTCTTGTTTGAAAACAGATGGATTTAGGCCTTATTCTTATCTGGTTATTAGCCTATCTTTGAATCACAGATGCTTTCCCTTTTATCTCGTCATCTCAATCCACTATTGTTCTATTATGATGAAGATTTTGAACTAAAAGTGGATTCCACTCTTACAATTGCATCCTTGTACAAATTCCTTAATTCAAGCCTCAAGGTGATTTCTTTAGCCTCTTTTCAAACACATATAGAAAGGGGTGACTACTCGAAGAGGTAAAGATTTGATGTGGTTGGTTATTAAACTCTAGAGAAGCCTTTCTGAGGAAAGATTTAAAACCAAGATGAATCTACCTTAATTCCCTGGTGACCTTGACACCTGAGTGTTTTCTTCTTGATTTACATGTGTATATCGAAATTTGGTATCTACTCCTCTCTCCCTTTTGATTCTGAATTCCATGCCATTCATATTTAAAGATCTCTGACACTGGAGGAGATCCTGTCTTCCCCCTAGGCGATCGTTGGTGATGGGCTTGTTCTTGTTTTGTGTTGGTCCATAAACATCACTAAAAGGTACCATTATGCTCTTATCACACAAAATGACAATAATATTTGGATGATACTATAAACCCCAAAAAGAACTGCAAAGCTACACACAAAAAGACATTTTACTCTAATTATAATAGAATCCTAATCCTGTTTCAGAAGAAGGAATTTCTTGCAACAAACTTCTATGCATCATATGTTTATAAAATAATAGGTTCAATGAAATGCATGAAAATACATAGTTTTGTCCTTCCTGATAGGTAACTATACTTGTTATATAAGTTCACACTTAGGATTTGGATACTATGTTTCACATGTTCCTTTCTTAGACTTTACCTAGCCTACTGGGCAAGGTGCTTTGGGGAGGGCTTTTCTTGATGGATGTTCTCTAGCGGTGATCATGAAGATGGACAATGGACATGAATTTTGTAATTTTTTGTTATATGGAGCATTTGGTTATAGCTACTTGTTCTGAATTGACGCATTTCTTTGTTCTTTAAAGTTCTTAGGTTCTAGATGGAAACATTCTATTGCTAAAAGTGGTGTCTCTATTAATTAAAATATTCTTACCATAAATTTGACATATAAATATCTTGACAAGTGACAATCAATGTTCTTTGAATCATATTTTACAAGTAACAAAAAGGACAACTTGGTGCACTAGGTTTTTGCTAATGTTCTATTTCTTTCATTCAAACTGTTGACACAGATTTTAAAGGAGCAATCTCACTGTTGTGCTATTTCTGTGTATCTTATTTTATTAATGAAGTCTTTTATTTAAGAATACTACCTCAAATGATTGTTAGAAGTGCTAGGACTATGAGTGTCTGAATTCAGTTTGTCAATTTAATTAGTGGCATTCAACTATGAACATTTTGCAGGTTGCTACTGGGCTCATTGGTAAATGTGTATTAGTTTCAATTTCCTTAGTTATCTACTACAATTGTGTTACATTTACAATCTTTATTTTTGACAAAAAAATGCAGAACAAAACTTGAAGCTTTTTTGTTACGATCAATGGAAGAAGGTCTCATACTAGATGGTGTTGTAGCTCAAGATATTAACCAATCATCCTCATTTTGGCGAATTCGTGAGGTTCAATATCTTGATGCTTTTGGAATTCCTTTTTTCTTGTGAGATGAACCCAGTAATTAATATTTATGATTCCACATAAATATTTTAGAAATGACCTAGGAAAACTTTTTCAAGAATCATAGAAAAGATATGAGCACACAAAGTTAGAATAGTTATATTAACATTGGTAAAGCTCTATGGTGGGAAATACCCATGTAATATACTTAATTTAGTTGGACATTATGGCTTATTGTAATGCTCAAAACATGATAAGCATAAACATGCATGGTTTGCCCAGTGATTGCAAAAGGCGCTCGGGCGCTCGCCTAGGCGCTCGGGCGAGGCGAGGCGAGGCCCGAGCGCCTCGCTAATGTCCCAGGCGGCGCGCTTCAATCAGGCGCCGCCTGGGCGCTCGCCCGAGCCCAGGCGCTGGGCGCTTCGGGCGAGCGCCTGGGTAAACCGAACCAGAATTTTAGGTCTGGTTCGGTCCTGGTTTGGTTGTTAGTTGGTTCAATCGAACCAACTAAACCAATATAACCCCAACCCTAACCCTAACCCTAACCCTAACCCAACACTAACCTGTTGCCGCTGCTGATCCCGATCGCGATCTCGTCGCTCGCTGCCGCTGCTCGCCGCT